TTCCAGGTCTTCAGCTTCCAAGTGAGACTGGATAGACTATTATTGTTTGTCATTAGCACCTAAGAACCTTTTTCATCTTCAAAGCTCCTTGCAAGTGTTCATTATCCACTGCCCTCCTTCCTGTGAGGTAGTAAACAGGTATTATTAGCCCCATTTTTACAGTTGTGGAAACCAGAGCAGAGAGGTTCCCCAGCCTGCCTGAGGTACCAGAAGAGTTGGTGACAGAGACCTGACAAGCACTTGGGTTTTCTGACTCATGATTCTGGGCTGGTACTGCACTGGATGTTCATGGGAAGCTGTTCTTGCAGGTTCCTTTATCACAGAGATCTCTCTGCACAGCTCTTTCTGCCCTCTGTGTTGATAGTGGCATAGAGTGCAGAGCTACTGAAACCAGGTTAGTTGATCTCATGGTGTCATCTAGAAAAACAGGAGATGCAGATTCTGGGTCATGAAGGTAAGGCTCTTCCTGACGTTGGGGGAGTGGAGGGGGAGGTTGTGGATATGGGTGAAATTATCTCAACTGGGCCTTGAGTTGTGTAGCTGCATCCAGGGCCTGCCTCACCTTAGCCTAGCCCTGGGACTTACCTTTCACTTGAGTAGGATCTCACACATCTAGCTGATTCACAGTCCAGTAAAAATATTTCAGTGTTGAACATAAACATATTACTGGTAATGATGCTTAATGAGTAATTCTTAGAATCTGATACAAAACTAGATATCTTCTCTCTCTTGGGTAGAACAGAAAAGTATTCTTTCTCTGAACACAGGCTCTGTTTTAGCTTAGGCATTTGTCTAAGGAGAAACAATAATAAATCAGAAATGTTTCTTGATGCATACAACAAGGGGATGTTTACATTGCAGTAGAAATGTCTATGAACTCATGCTCTTGATTTTAATAAAGCTCTGCACATTTCCTTCCTCATTCCCTGCTCTAAGTGTAAATACTCTGTGTGTGCACTATGTGGACTTCAGCTCCTGTAGTGTAGCAGCCTTGCAGCCTTTGTTGTGCCAAAAGAGTTGAAATTCAGACTAAAACCTTTTAGGTAGCTGAGTTCATTTCAAATGGAAGGGAAACTTTATGGAATATACCTAGTCAAGGAAGAACAAAATCTAGTTTTATCTTTCTGACTGTAATCACCTAAAGCTTTACGTGCTTCATTTGGTGAGTGTTTAAAAATCACTAACATGGTGCCTGGCCCTCTGTTTGATGCTAGAATTGGTCCCATGTGGGAGTCTATGCTGTCTTCAAGAGGCTTTGAGGAAGAGAGAGCTGCCTTCCAGGAAGTTTCTGCTCTGTTGATGTTTGATAAATCTAGTTGGTGGCCCCAGAATGCTGTAGGGAAGGTGGATGGGATTCAACTCTTGAGATGTGTGTTGGGGATAGGTGTGGCCACACGGTGACAGAAATCCTAGAAAAGTGTTTATGTTAAGTAAGTCCAAAGCAGCATCTTGTTATGGACCAATAAAAGGAGAACATCAGAGAACCACTAGTGGAAGGCAAGATGCAGAACCATGGTGCAAGCATGTCACCATTGTTATTCATTACACAAGTGGAGGTTGGGTTAAAGATACAAAAGAAACTGAAAGTGATACCTTAGGTGGGCGGGGAGGAGAGGAGAGAAAGGTTTGCACTGTGTGTGTGTGTGTGTGTGTGTGTGTGTGTGTGTGAGAGAGAGAGAGAGAGAGAGAGAGAGAGAGAGAGAGAGAGGGAGGGAGGGAGAGAGAGAACACGTTTGACCTATTCAAAAAAATTAAATGGAAAAAAAAAGCATAGCATTAAAGTGGGAACCTAGATTGATTATTGAATCAGGCCATTGCTGTCTTTCTGGTCTTTGAAATTAATGCTGTGATTTTAACCAGTTACCTGGCTAGAAAACAGTATTGAAAGGCACCCCATCATGGATTTGGATTTGAGACTTGGCCAGAAGTTTACCTTTCTCATCCTTCTCATAGAGCATGCACTCCCAGCTTTCACCGGTGTGACTGAGTGCCACTCTTCTTGGTGAGGGAACAGAGCACAAGAGTGCAGGTGGATGGTGAGGACTGGTTCCTAGCCAGGGCCTCATTCAGACTGCGCCATTCTGTTTTAGCTGGCCTTTCATTTTTTGTGTATCATTTAGTTGAGTGAACCAGTTTTACTGTACTTTAGACATTGTGACTATGTGGTCAGGCCTGTTCATTTTTTAGGTGAATGGTGAGACTGTCAAAATGAGATCTGCTGAAAACTGGAGTGTTCGGTGTCATCTTCAGCAGAGAGGGGTACCACAACTTTCTGGGGCCAGAAGGGGAATTTAAGGAGGAAGTTGGGGAAGGTACCCTGGTGATGTCAGAGAGGAGGACTCTGCAGGGAATTGGGTGGAACAATAAATGGAAACAAGAAGACTGAATCAGGGACTGAGCCAAGGCTGGTGAAGTGTTGGAATGGCAAAGGGTGTGGTCTGAGTGGCAGTCATAACTGCACAGCAAAGGCCTTATCTACTCTGTGTGCCAGCCCATGATCATCTATAGGCTTGGCAAATACTTGTTCTAGTTCTGTGGGTCTTTCAGTTTTTTGATAGTATCATTTGCTGTACAAAAGTTTTTAATTTGGATTAAGACCAGTTTGCTTTTTGCTACCTGTGCTTTTGGTGTTGTATCTGAGGAACCATTGCCAACCCCAAAAGTTTACTCCTATGCTTTCTTCTAAGAGTTTTAAAGTTTTAGTATATGCATTTAGTTCTTTGATCAGTTTTGAGCTGTATAAAGTGTGAGATGAGGGATCTACTTTCATTCTTTTGCATATGAATGTTCTGTTTTCTCAGCACTATTTGTTGAGAAAACTGTTCTGATCCCCACTGGATGGACTTGGTACACTTGTCTACAATTAATGGACCACAAGTGGAGGGCTTATTTCTGGCTTCCCAGTTCTAGTCCTTTGGTCTCTATTCTTCTTACATCGGTATCACACTGTCTTGGCTAGTAACATGGTTGTTAAGCTTTAAGCTCAGGAAGTATGGGTCCTAGAACTTTAGTCTTTTTCAAGATTGTTTTGGTGTTTGGGTCCCTTACATTTCCATGTGAATTTTAGGATCAGCTTGTCAGCACCCTCTGTCTCTCTTTCTCCCGTTACTAGTGCTCCCTGATCAGGATAAGTAAAAGAGGACAGGCCACCCACACTCCCTGACTGAGGGAAGAGCTCACCTCCTGAGATTGCCTGTGAGGACCCCCCTCCTCCAGATGTTTATGTCTCTGAAGCTTAAAGGTTTTAACACAAAAGCCATTTGGATTTAGTATTCTATTCATAATTATTAGCTCAGTCTAAAATGCTTGACATTATTTAGCTGCATAGGAAACTGATGATCCCGGAAGCACATCATGTAATCCTGTGTCTTCAGCAGCTTCCTGAGTGTGCCTATATATCAAAGTCCAGGTCCGGGGAAGCCCTTGCTAATGCTCCCATATTTGTGAATTTTGTTTCTGCAATCTGACCTCCCCAAACCCCAGACTGGGAGCAGAACGGAAGCATAGGGACGGCAGTTTGTCTGCTGCCGAGTCTACATGGGGCAAAGTGCTATAATCTGATTTGAGGGTGCTGGTTTCTCTTGCGAAGCTGTCATCCTTTTCTGTCTTTCCTTGAGATGGATTTGGATCTCATCACTCTTGGCCATTGAAAAGACTGAACACTTCCAGAATGACATCTGTTTCATTCATTATCTTTTTCATCTGGGCCAGAATCAGTCATTTTCCAACACCTGTTGGAAAATGTGCTCAGTGACAGAACTTTCACCTGTCTAGGGCAAGGCAAGGCTGATGTGGACTTTTTACTGAATTTATTCACATATAAGACCATCCATTGTTCTGAGATTATCTTTTGATATTAAAGTGTCATGTCAGCTGTGATTTTTTTTTTTTTAATGATCTTATCAGGGCAATAAGCCAGTGTTAGTCCTTGAGAGTCCTTGTGATAATCCCAACTGTAGAACATCATTTAAAACCACAGATCCTAGATCTTGAAAAATCCATTTCTCTAAGGGCAAAATAGTTTCTGCTGGGTATTGAGGGGGTAGGGGGGAGAGGGAGGGGGCGGAGTGGGTGGTAAGGGAGGGGGTGGGGGCAGGGGGGAGAAATGACCCAAGCCTTGTGTGCACATATGAATAAAAAAAAAAGAAAGAAAAAAAAAAAGAAAAGTCCATTTCTAGTCTTTTTTATATGAAATATCCAGAATAGGAAACTCCATCAGGGCAGAAAGCAAATTAGCAGTTACCAGGGGCTAGAGGAGGGAGGAATGGGGAACGGTGACTTAAATGGGTATGGAGTGTTCTTCTGGGGTAATGAAAACATTTTGAATCTAGAGAGAGTAAGTGATTGTACAACACTGTGAATGTACTGAGTGCCATCGACCTGAGCACTTTTAAATTGTTCGGAATATGTTATGTGAATTTCGCCTCCATTGTTTGTATTCAGTGGTGTGATTATACATAGAGACTGGAAGGTATGGGGGGAGTGTTTTACTCTGAAGCTGTGAATCCAGAGGAGAAGACTGTGTGCTCCCCCACACACACATAGACATGCACATAGGTGTTAACGACTCCCATCGCTAAGCATAATTGCTGAAAGCTGCTTGGGTTGACAAATGTTCTGCTTTGGGACAGTAGAAAAGTTTAGCACTCAGATGAGACCCAAAGAGATTCTTTATCTCATCTCAGAAGTGCTTTTCTACAACCTGTCACACTGCAGAGTGGATGTTCCGAGACTCCTTCAGGCTTAATCTGAATGAAGTTACTCCATTGCTCAGTCCATATGATCCGTTTTTAGTGTTGGATAGAACTCTGGCCTTCAATGCTAAAGACAGCCAGTTAGCTCCACCTATAAACCTTGAAACAGGAGTGTGAGATTTGCCTTTTCCTCCCCCCCCAAAAAAGAAAGGAAAAGGAAAAAATTTTAAAATACCCTATACTGGAGTTTGAACTCAGGATCTCAAGCTTGCTAGGCAGTTGCTCTACTGCCTGAGGCATGCCTCCAGCCCTTTTTGCTTTGGTTATTTTTGAGGTAGGATCTTGTGTTTTCAGTTTTGCCCAGGGCCAGCCTGGATCGCAATCCTCCTACTTGTGCTTCCCAGTTAGCTGGGGCAACAGGCGTGCACTACCACACCCAGATCTTTTTTTGTTGCAATGGAGTCTCAGTAACTTTTCCCCACCCCACACTGACCTTGAACCTCCCAAGTAGCTAGGATTCCAGCCGTGAACCACTGAACCTAGAGAGTATAGCATTTTAAAAAACATTTCTTCTCTCCTTCCTGCTTCCATAGTGCTGTGGGGTGAGAAAATGAAGAGATTGCCCCAGTTACAGAATGTTACCATCAGGGTGGTCTTTATAAGATGCTAGACTTTCAACAGCTGGACATGGGGTTGGGAAATCAGGAGGGGGTGGGAGGTAGACCTGGCAGAGAAAACTGCATGGACATGAAGAAAGAGGAGGGAGGTCTGGCATTATGTGTGAGGTAGTTAAATGCCCTTGATGGGGTCTTGTAAATATATTCCTTCAGCAAACATTTCTGAGCATTTTTGTATCTAGTACCTGTCATACACCAGCGAAAATCCAACAGTTGTGCAAATAACAACAATACCATCTGGCACGTGCAAGAATGAGATTGTTCAGGATATTAACAGAGCCCAGAGGAAAGGCAGCTCACTAAGCTTTGGGGGAAAGAAGTGTGAGCTGGTTTTGTTTTGTTTGTCTTATTTTTGTTTTGTGACATGTAAAATATGACCCGTCTTGATATGTTAGTATCTATGATATATTGGTATTGATATCTTAATGTATAAAACATGCCTGTGTTTATACAGGACATTACATTTATTTTTGACTACTTCTGGAAAAGAATTTGATAATCGCTTAAGCTATTAGAACATCTGCAAAAGTATATTAAAGGAAAAAAATGTATTAGAAACCAGACTAGAGAACCAACTCAGCTTTGAATGGCGTTTTCAACAGTTTCAGAAAACACCTTTGTTACTAATGGGCTGATGGGTGCATTGCCTTTTTAAACTTCCTCCTGGTTTGTGGTGCTAAACCCTTGCAGATCGTATTTTCCTGCACACTGCATAAGATGGGACATGCCACCTTAAGCATGTGTGTAGAACACACCTTAAGGAAGTAAAAGAATTATTTGCACTGGCTAATGTTGAGTTTAATTTGTCCAAAGACATTCCTATTTGAGCAGCAATATTATAATGTAGATTTAAAGGCAAAACTTACAAAAAACAATGGATAGCCTGGGTTCTGGGGAGATTCTAACGATGGGCTCCCAAATCCTACTTCATTTTTAGACTCAAAGGCTGGCAGGGGCAGCAGAGGCTGAGAAGAAATGGTCTTTCTGTCCTCCCCTTGAGAAGATAGAGAACACGACCCCAGAGGTTAAAATGATTTTCTTGTTCCACATTTGGGGGATAATTAGAGACTTCAAATCCTATACTTTGCTGAGCAGTGATCATTAACATCAAAATCTGTGAGTTGGGCAAAACAGAGGATTTCTTGTTTTGTCCTTCTCTTTGCACCTTGGGATAGCCCAGACTCCTCTGAGTTGGTCATCAATACACCACAGCTGGCAGCTCCAGAGAGGATTTTAAGTGATATAGCATTGAACATTCTAATAGTTCTATACTGACAAATGTGAAGGTGTATGATTAGCATATCAGGTCCATGATTTCTTGGGTTACTGTTTAGGAGAGGGCTTAGTAAAAAGTGTGTCCATTTAAAGCAAAATACATAAATAATAGCACAACTGCAGAGATGTGGCAAGGATCTTAAAGAGGTGGCACATAGGGCACCTGAGCCTGGCCGCCCTGGGTTCTGAGAAGGCTGTTCTGAGGGTGCCTCCCAGGCTCTTTCCTGTGGCTCAAGCAGCAAGCCCACTGGCCATCAACGTGGGAAGCAGTGAAGGAGTGATGTGGCCTGCAGGGTAAGATTCCAGCAGTGCAGCGAGCTACAGGGTCTTTAGCTCCCTGTTCCAGCCTCACTTTCCTCTCCTCTGCCTGCAGCCTCTGCTTGGCACAGCCCCTTCTTGCCCTTACTTTGTGGTGTAGTTTCTCTGCACATCCCTTAGCTTTTGCTTGGTGGCACAGTTCATTTACTAGTTCTATGACCTGAAGCAAATTACCTACCTGTTAAATGACTGCTCTCCATCTATAAAATGGGTACCATAACAGTGACTCCCTCACAGAAGAGTTATGGGTATTGGAGGAAACTGACAGTGTGCAATGCTTGGCCTGGAGTCTAGAAGACACTAAACTCTGTAATATTAGCACAGATGATTACTAAATCTGCTCGCTTCTTTCTTTCTCCAGAGTCCAACTCGAGTTACTGAAAACGGATTGTTGGTAACTTTGGTTTTGGAAAGAACCACTTTGTTTTGACGTAACATTGCCCTGGGGTCAAGTTGTTTTGTCTTTTCCAGGCTGCCTGGGAATGGGGTCCAAGTGTTAACAAACATGGCAGCCTGGGTCTGACCCTCTGGCTTACTATGAACCAACAGATGTTGGCTCTGTTGTCCACCCATCCATTGCTGAGGTTTTCATTAAGAAGAGAGGGAGGTGAAGCTTCTCAGCCAGTGTCATAATAAGTCTTTCCCAGTGTGTCTTAATCATCTTTGATTGGTAGTGTTAGAGAATCACCAAGTTGCCAAGAGTGGCTGATTTAATCATGTGATTTGGTAATTCTTTGGAAACTGCTACTATGGATGAACCAGCATTATCATTGAGCAGTCATTCCTGGCTCTGCTTATCTGGCCTGATGAGTTATCATACAGGTTGGTGAAGGATGCCCTTGTCAGGCTTCTTTGGTGAGGTCATAGCATGAACCACCTGCACTTGAGTTCCACCCGATCCAATGGCAGCCAAATCTAGTAACTATTCCAGACTTTCCTCCAGGATTATTGTGAGAGTCAGGCAATATAATGTTTGTAAAGCACTGTATTGCTTTTTAGTTCTATAAAAAGCATTTTGGTTTTTAATTCTCTCTCTACCATAGAGGTTGTGGGGAGGGTTACTTCCCCACTGTATCGAATTGAAAGTTTTAAATGGTCTGCCTTCTGCTTGACCAAACACGATCCAGTCAGGACAGATCACATCCTGAGTGAAGAGTCCCGTTGAGAATTTCAGTAGGTGTAGTGTGGTAGTTGGACCCCAAGTGCCTGTCTGAAGGAGAAAAGACCTTCCTTTGGCCCTTTGCTTCATGTGTGACAGCAATGCTGAGGACTAGTGTCCAGAGGAAGTAGTCTTCCAAAGTGACCAAAGTCACTTCCAAAGTCTTTTCAAAACGGGAGCTAAGGGCTGGTGTGTGGCTCAAGTGGTAGAGCACTTGTCATGCAAGCATGAGACCCTGAGTTCAAACCTCAATACTGCTTTAAAAAAAAAAAAGTGGAACTAAATAAAGAGTGCCCTGGGGAGTGCTTGCCTAGCATGTGCAAGGCTCAGGTTCTATCCCTAGCACTGAAAAAAGAAAAGAAAAGAAAAGAAAAAGAGCCTCATGGGATGCTCCCTTGATTTGGCCTCTGAGTGTGGCTATAGAGGCTTCCACAGGCCACCAGCATTTACCTCCTAGATCAGGGAGCTGATCCAGTAGAAACAGGTTGAGGAAAAATCCCTCCCAGACATAGTGTCTTGTAGGTGAAACCTCAGTCCCACTGCCAGTCCTGGCTTCTGAGTCTCTTAAAATTGTGAGGGTATTTAATATGTGCTACTGCTCCAGGGCTGTCAAGTTGCTGGGGACATTCGTACTGAGGATTTGTGCATTAAAACACTAATTTGGTCTTTCCAGGAGGTAAGTATTATATGCTGGGAAATCAGAATCTGCAGTATAACAGATCACTACTGCTCTCTTGTCCTGAGGTGAATTTACCAAAAGCTATGAGAAGCAGCCTTTGAACCTCCACATTCACTGGTCTGTCCCGAGCACTCACAGGGAATGATAGAGCCCTGGGGAATAGTTCTAAGACCTGGCAGGCCTGGAGAAGAGACTCTTACTTTTAGAAGTGTACTGAACGCATGTTCACACTAAGGAGAGATACCGCCTGTGTCAGTGATGACTCAGGGCCTCTGATTCCAGCTCCCCTGATCACCTAACTGGAGGCTGGAGTAGAACATTGGTCTGTTCTGGACAGTGTGGAAGAGGAAGCATGGCTGCTCCACTGGGACCTTCTAAGGAAGGTAGGCTCAGGCTGTCCTGCAAGCCCAGGAGCAGTGAGCTGGGGCAAGGGGCATCGGTGGAGGGCGGCAGATGAGTAACACCAAGGAACTGGCGTAGACAAGTAAACACAGTGACTTCCAGTTACTGTTTACCATCAGCTGAGTGTTTTAGAGGATTTAGAGGGAAAGTTGATGATTTGGATGTTCAGTGGATGAGGTGTCATCAGGGCAGGCTTTCCGTAAAGGCATGATCCCAGATGGATGGTTGGTTCCAAGAGTTCCTTCCTACTTGCTGTCTTCTTGTATGTGACATGGGTTTATCAGGAACCTGATCCATAGCAGGTCCATGAGAAACCACTGATTTTAATTTCACAGATGTTTTTGAAGAATTTAAAGGTCTTAAAGGTAATATTTTGTCAAGTTCTGAGGGCCACCAAGGGACAGACATAGACTTTTTCTTAAACAGCACCTGGGAGACTGTGAGGGGTGGGAGCAGTGTGAGGAAGGGTTCCTGGCCAGCCTGCTTGTGGTGCAGTCAGTGGTTGTCCCTCAGTACTGCTCTTTCTCCCACAGGTCACTGAAAGGCTGTAAAGTCACCCTGCGTGGGCACAGGCTTGTCACTTCCAAACCTTGTCACCTCACCCTCTCTATGGATCCCTGTCCTGGTTTGTGTAAGGGAGAAGATGGTAGCCCTCACTGTGTTGTGAGGATTGACAGACTTAAAAAATTACAGTAGTATCTAGCATGTAGAAATAATGAAATAAGGACAAGCTGTTATTATTCCTTAAAATAATTTAAAATGAAAATAGTAGGAACCATTAAGATAAAATATAAAAATTAAATGAGAAATTAAATTTTAAAAATTATTTAAGGAAATTCCTCAATTCACAAACAAGTTTTTTAAAAAACTTAGACTTTCCAGGAGCTGAAGTGCCTTACGCAGTTGAGACTATCAGGCTGGCCAGGGTTTTGTTTGAGCTGCAGACAGAGTGCCGAGACTGGAAGTCCCCGGGCCTCTTCTGTAGCTGCCAAGGGGAATGAAGGGGAGTGAGCCAGCACCCCTTTCCTCCCCTTCTTTTCTTCCTCCTGATCTGCCCAACTTTTAAACCGAAGTCATAACTGCTGGGAGCACTTACAATTAGTTATAACTTGTTTCTATAACATTGTTCAGTCATTATTGTAAATGAGTCATTCTATTGTTTTAAATTTTTGTATCTCCTGCCAGGCATTCTGAAGATAGTTCTTCCCCAAAATGCTGTTTAGACTAAATAAATTTCTTTAAATATAATGCATCCATTTTAAGTGTCTGATATGTTGCATGCATTTTTCTAGGCTAGCAAAACTTGAGGATTATTCCTGTAATTTAAAAAGTTACATTTACCTTTGTATATATATTTATTTTCTTTTTTTATACTGCACTAGGGTTTGAACTCAGGACCTTGCACTTGCTAGGCAGGTGCTCTACCACTTGAGCCACTCCGATAGCTCCTTTATATATTCTGTATTTAAACAAACATGGTTCTTCTAATTTCAGCTTTAAGTCCTGAAATAAGGTAGACAGTATAAAAAAAAGAGTTAAAAAGAAAAAGTAAAGATATGTTAGGCAGATACAAAAGAAAAGCAGAAGTCACGATATTAATTAATACTGGAAAAAGTAGAATTCAAGGTAAAAAATATTAAATGAGGCAAGAATTACTTCATCATGCTGAACCATTTAGTCCATAGGATGATAGAACCATGGTGAACTTACATGACCTAATTAACAATAATGTGAGAGGTAAAGGAAATGAAAGACAGAATCAGTAATTACAGTAGTGGTCATTAGCTGGATTTCTCGGCCCTGGCAGAGCATGTGGTGGGTACGGGTTACTAATGTGAGCTGGTAGAGACTTTTAGGTTTGATGGCTGGAAAACAAGGGCTCATGGCCATAAGATTTTAATTTAATATATAGTAATTTACAGAAAACCCACTGCAATTTCTGCAAAACTGAAATAAGCAGAAATTGTATTCCCTCATCATAATGTGGTAGAAATAGCAGCAAGTGCACAGGTGGAAGCAGGCATCCCCAGGAGGCTCTAGGCAGGGGGATTGTTCTTCCTTGTCCTGGCTGGTGCTGCCAGTGCCTTCTTAGCATTCACCTTTCAGTCCTTAAATTCTTTCCCTGAGCAGCTAAAGTAGGCCAGCTGATATATTCAGGCACACCACTCTGCTTTTTGTTTCTTTCCTGAAGTAATTTTGTTGATTTTTTTTTTGACTGACTTGTCTCCCCAACTCAAGTGAAACCTCTATGACCACAGAAACCATATCTGTTTTTGTTGAAAGCTTTACCCTAACATCCAGAATTCTGGCACTCAGTGTACTTTGAAAAAGTATTGCTGGCCTCCTGGTGCTTACCACAGGCTATTCTTATACTGACTGTGTAGAAAGAAGAGGCATCGTGAACCTACCCCTAGCCCAGGTCCTGTGCCTGCTCTGTATTGTAAATGGGGAGATGTGGGGAAGAGAAAGAAAAGAAAAAGAAATAAAACTCTAGGCAGAAAAAATACTGCTACATGAACAATAACTAATAATGATGAAGCACTTTACAATGATTCTGCACTTACACTTACGGACCCTGTGAAGAAGATCCTGTCGTCGCCCATCTTACAGATGGGGGCACAGAAGCAGAGGTTCAGTAAGTCACACCAGGAATGACAGCAGCAAGTAGAACTGAGGTGGAATTGCTTTCATGTACTGCCTCCAAATGGACACAAGACTAAAATGAGGTGATGGCTTACAGAGTTAATATGTGAGCATTCTTTAAAAAGGATGAAAAAAAAAGCTACTTAACCTCTAACATAGAAAAGTTCTAAAATAAATCAATAATTGTTACATTCTTTAAAGACAGAAGCAGAGATGAATTAATTAGGAAACTAAAAAAACGGAAAGAAAAGAATGAAACCCAAGTGTTGCTTTTGGAAGGAGGAATAGACCGTGGAGTAAGGGGGAGAAAGAAAAGACAAATCAGAAACCTAGCTAACCTAGGGAAAAAAGGAGAGAGATCATAGTATGCAGTAAGTATTAATAGGTCAAAGAGAAATAGATCTGAGTATCTCAACCAATTTCAAGATGTCATTGGATAAAATCCAACTAACGTTCTTGATTAGTGGTTTGTTTTTAACTTTAAAAAATAATTTCAGAGCCAGTACCAGTGGCTCACACCTGTAATCCTAGCTACTAATCCTGAGGCCAGCCCAGGCAGGGAGTAAGTAAGTGAGACCCCGTCTCAACCAACAGCTGGGCATAGTAGTGCACACCTATTATCCCAAGCTAGGTGGGAGGCTGAGATTCTCAGGATTGTGGTTAGAGGCTAACGCAGGCAAAAAAGTTTTCAAAAGCCGATCTTAACAGAAAAAAAGCTGGACTTAGTGGCATATGTCTATCATCCTAGTGACAGCAGGAAGCTTAAAATAGGAAGGTCCTGTCCAGGCCAGCCTGAGCAAAAAGTGAGATCCTATCTCCAAAAATAACCAGAGCAAAAAAGGCTGGGAGTATGGTTTAAGTGGTAGCACCTGCTCAGCAAGCACAAAGCCCTGACTTCAAACCTCAGTACCACCAAAAAAATTAATAATCATTTCAGAATTGTGAAAAAGTTGCAAGACTGGTATAAAGAATTTTCTTAATCAGAATTTTGCCACATTTGCTCCACCATTTGTTTACCTCAGATGTTTTCCATGTTATAATTAACATGTAGGTTTTACCAGTCCCTCCCCCTATCTTTAGGGCCCTCATCTTTTTGTCTCAGTCATCCAAGCCGTTGTAAAAAGCAAAGGGCTGAGCTTCTCTAAGGCAGAGCCTTAGCCAAGGAGGCCACCCAGAAGCAGGACTCAGCTCTGTTCTTCTTGATCCTGTAAGTCTTCCTTATTTTGGGAGCTGATTGTTACCTATAAACATATTCCCCCTCTAGACTTGCTTGCTCCCTTGAGGGAGGGTGGCTATAATGACCACCAGGACCAGAAACAGAGGCCCTTGCTAGTATAGAAAGCACTCAGTGGTCACAGATGAAGAGGGTTCTGGAGTAACTTCCCACACTCCTCCTCCTGTTGGTGACCTGTTCTCCTGCTGCACAGCACCTGTGCCATCCTGAACTGGACCTTTGGGGCATCACCAGGCTGCTGTTCCACCTTCTCCAGGCATAGCAGCTTCCTGCTGTCCCCTGCTCCTGTATACCTGGCCACTCCCCACCCCTCCTCTCCAGCCTAGCAGTCCCCTGGCATTGAAGATATAAACCCTTTACAGAGGTCACACTGTTCCTTTAGTGAGGCTCAGGACGGGTGGAACTGTATAATGTGTTTCCCCCTCCATCTGTGATCACAAGTCTCCATTACCTGGTGGGGCTGAACCGATTTACTAACTTGCAATACAGGGTACAGTGACACTCAATTAAAGATGATGCTGATCTATTTATCAGTATATAGGACACCCTGGACACAGGGTGAGGGAGGTAAGAACAGCAGGGTACATGAAACTCAGTTCCCACGGAACCCCTGGATAGGTGGCATCTGGATGCCAACAGTGCTGATCTCAGAATGTTCCTTCCTTTTGTTGTTTGGATTATTTTTTTTACACTGATCATGTATTATTTTTCTAAAGACAGAATTCTTAAAAATTATTTAATGCTAAGGTGTAGTTTCACTTATAAACCAGTGGTCACCTATACACAGGGAGAGAGGTTTTGTTTATGGTACAAGCCCTTAGGTTTTATGTGCAGTACCCACCTGGTAAGTTATTTGCCTAGGTTTACATACACATACACATACCCTACCACTCTTTCCCATTTCTGTTTAAAGCTCTCTTCTGTTTTTCTTTCCCCTTCCTAGAATTTTTTGCTAGCACTTGAGTTCCCGAAAGAGGTGTTCTTTCACAGCCTGAGAGCACCGGAAAAAACCTTATTTTTCAATGTGGAGACTAAGACCTAGACAGGTCAAGCAACTGGTCACACCTGTCCAACAGCAGTGTCTCCTGCACCCTGGTCTGCCTA